TTAATAAAATTTAAATAAATTTTAATAAATATAATTTAAATAAAATTCAATATAATATAATTCAATAAATATAATTATGGTATTAATGAAATATATAATTTAAATAAAATTCAAAATAAATCAATTCAATAAATATATATATACTTTACACATTATATGATGAACAAAATAAAAAACATAATAATAATTATAAATAAAAAATATGTTAATGTGCAAACTAACTACTCACCTATGATCCACAAGACCGGAACTTGGATTTCTACTATGACACCTTATTACAGTATCATGAGTCAATCTGCTACCACTTGGTTGCAATGGATCCGTGTTTTCATCAGTCCCAGTGCCAGTACTTTCGGCATACAATCCTGTCATGGCATACATGCTCTCGTTACGTCTATGTCCAGCATGATAATTGCTACCAGACTCGGACCTGAAAGTTTATTTTTGCACCATGTTAATTGAAAGTTTTAGCTGAACGATAACGATAACGATATTCCACCATCCCCCCTTCTTTCCTCTCTCTCGTATGTGTCATGTGATCTTTTTGTTCCATGAAATGTCAGATAAATAAAACATATATGTATGTGTGAAAGATGGAAATTGGATAATGTCAAAATTCACATGGTCAACATATATATTAAACATGTGTCAGTGAAAATATCAAATTTTTTTTCATTTATTTTTATATATTTTTATATTATATAAACATATACAAACAAACTAACATGTGTGAATGAATTTTCAAATATTATTTTAATATTAATTACATTTAATTTAATATTGAAATAATATTTTTTTAATTTTAGTAATTTATTAAATTAATTTTTAATTAATTATTATCTATATTTTTTTTTCAATTTATTTATTTTAGATATATTATATTAATTAATTTATATACTAATTTAAATGTAAATTAAATATTTATACAATAAATTAATTTAAATTAAATTATATATACTAATTTAATTATATAATTATTTAATATATATATATAATAAATGACGTAATATTGTTTAAATTGAACTTCAACAAAATTTATAATTTTTAAGTGATTCGTAGTGTCAACATTGACAATTTTCAAACTCTGACGCATTTCACACCATTAATTCATAGTTCACATTAATAATATTTATTCAATACACACACACACATATACATATATATATATATTTTTTTTTGTAGAAAAACATTAAAAAGGATAAAAAATATTAAATAAAAATAAGAAGAAAGGGGTGGAAATGAAAAAATACATTCGACGTGTTGTTTAGTATCGATTGCATTGCGGAAACAAAAAAGGGTTGGTCGAATAGCAAGACAGGACACACACTCTCCTGTTGTCTCCTGTCTGTCTCCTGTTGTTGGTTTGGTTCTTGCTGTTACTATTACCTAACGGATAGTCGAAGGGGGGTTTGGGGTTGGGGTTGGGGTTGGGGGGGGAAAGGGATCTTTTAAAACCTTGCTTCTTTCATGGATGTCATGCAAGACTCCCTTCTTCAAGCAAAAGGATCGTATTACCTGACAGAAAGAGAGTAGTAATAAGAGTACAACCATCCCTTACGTTACTTTTCTTCCAATACTATGTTACAAAAATAAAATACTAAACGAACAAAAACAATAATCTATTTATTTATTTATTAATTTATTTATTTATTTCTTCTTCTAAAATAATTTAATTGCAATAAGAGATAAGTTCATTTTCATTATTTCATTTTCATTTTCATTTCTATTTGCATTTTTTTTTTTTTAGTTTCATTTTTATTTTGTTAATTTCATTTTCATTTATTATTTTTTTTAGTTTCATTTTCATTTCTATTTTTTCATGTTTATTTTGTTAGATTAATTTTCATTTACAATTTTTTTTAAGTTTCATTTTCATTTAACAGTTTTGTTAGTTTCATTTTCATTTACAATTTTGTTAGTTTCATTTTCATTTCTATTTTTTCATTTTTTTTAGTTTTATTTTTATTTTGTTAGATTCATTTTCATTTACAATTTTTGTTAGTTTCATTTTCATTTGTATTTTTTTTTTTTTCAGTTTCATTTATACCTTGTTTAGTTTCATTTTCATTTGTATTTTTTCATTTTTATTTTGTTAGATTCATTTTCATTTACAATTTTTTTTAAGTTTCATTTTTATTTCTATTTTTTTCATTTTTTTTTAGTTTCATTTTTATTTTGTTTAGTTTCATCATTTTCATTTACAATTTTTGTTAGTTTCATTTTCATTTTTATTTATTCATTTTTTTTTTTAGTTTCATTTCCATTTTCATTTTTATTTTTTCATTTTGTTAAGTTTCGTTTTTAGTTTTTTTCATTTCAATTTTATTTTTGTATTTTCTCATTTTCATTTCATAGTTTTTTTTATTTTTTTTTTATTTTTTTTTAGAATCTTTTTTAACAGATATAAATGGAAATTGCATTAGTTGTTACGTACAACAGATATATTATTAGATAATCGTAAATAAACGAAAATAAATAAGAAACATAAACAACACGCGTTAGTAGTAAATAAAAATGCTAATAATATTATTTCGTATGACTTGAAAATAACTTTGTCTTGTTATATTTCCTTATTTTCCTCTTTTAACTCTCAACTTTCCAACTCACTCACTCACTCACTCACTCACTCACTCACTCACTCACTCACTCTTCTTTCTCGACATACATTTAGTTACGTAAATTCTAAGAAGAAGAAGAAGAAGAAGAAGAAAATGATGAATAAGAAAAATAAGAAAAATAAGAAAAATAAAAAGAAGAAAAAGAAGAAGTGTACGAGTCAGTCAGTGGAATGGACGATGTGACCTAAATAATAAAAAAAAATAAAGAAAAAAAAAAAAAACAATATTACGACTAATCGTTAGTAAGACGTGCGTGAGACGAATATTAAAATCGAACTTTAATTTTAAAACGATGGTGGTTGGTTGGTTGGTTGGTTGGTTGGTTACTTGCTTACTTGCTTAGTTGGTTAGTTGGTTGTTGAGTAATGGAAAGTAACTCACGTAGGATGTCCTTATTTGTAACGAGACAGATTTTATTTTTTTTTGTTTTATTTATTTATTTATTTATTATATTTTTTATTTCTTTTATTTTTTTTTTTTTAGTGTGCTCAACTGGTTGGTAAAAAAAAAAAAAAAAAGAAATGTTAAAATATTAGAAGAAAAAAAAAACACAATATTTGTGTGTATTATAAAAATATAAAAATAATAATAAATAAATATATAATAATATATAAATATAATAAGATAAATAAATAAATAAATAAATAAATAAATAAATTAAGATAGTAAATAAATAAGATAAATAATAATAATAAATATATATACAATAATATATAAATATAATAAGATATAAAACCAAAATGGTTTTCTATATATATATATTATATATATTTATTTATATATTATTTATTATATATATATATTATAAATAAATATTACATATTACATATATATTATTTAAAAAGAAGTATTTTTATTTTAATATTATTATTTTTAGTATTACTATATATTTATTATTTGTTATTATATATATTATTGTATTATTTTGTTATTACTTTATTATTATTATATTTTTTATTATTTATATATATTATTAATATATTATTTTTATTATATATTATTTCTATTATTTATATATTATATTTTTATTATATATTATTTATATATTATTTATACATATATATTATAATAAAATAAAATTAAAATAATAACTTCTAAAGTATATTTTACAAAAAAAAAAAAAAACAATACAAATGCATTATACATTATGCAATTTATAATACAATAAATTCAAACAAAATTTTGATTAATTAATACAGTGTTAGTTAACCTAACACTGTACAAACTGGTCACTCATGTTTATATCAAAATGGACGCGTTTTATCGTACAACCTACAATGACACACACGATTGATTTTTTTCCTGCTCGATCTATAAAAAAAGAAATAATAATAATAAAAAAAAAAAGATCAATTATCCTTTAACAACACGCATGAATGAACCCACCCTATGTACACGAATTACTCTTTTACGATTCCCACTCACCCCCCCTCCCCCTCGACCTCTCTACTCCCTACTCTCCCCTTCATCGAAATTAATCGAATTAAGTAATTTAAGTACTCTACGATAGGAGGACATTGGTGTCAACACCTTTGTCGCAAAAATCGTTTGAAAATTTGCAACACCATGTGCGTAAATGCGTGCGTCTTGTGTGTGTGTATGAAGGGGGAATTGGAAGGGTAGGTGGGAGGGAGGAGGAGGGGAGGGAGGGAGGAGTAGGGGAGGGGGGTAAAGAATGCACATCGAACGATCGGATTAATGTTCGCGTTGAAACGAATTCGTATAAACAAAAAAAAAGAAACAAAAAATGAAAAAGAAAAATAAAACAACATTGTGCACGCGACGCATTGTGCATTTTTGTTCGATCGAACGATTAAATATAAAACCGAACTATGTTGCATTAAAAAAAAAAAGAAAAAAAAAAAAAAAAAGAAAGGAAGAAAAGAGAAAAAAAGTTCATCGTTTCGTTTTCTTCCCCTTGGATTATTTCAAATCACGTAGTTGTACCATATACCCGCCCCCATGAAGAAAGGGTGTCCTTTCTTTTTTATGCGAAATTTTAGAAACCTTTGTCATGCGATGGCTAGGAAGATTTTTTTTTCTTTCTTTCTTTTTTTTTTTTTCTTCTTCTTTTTTTTTTCTTCTTCTACACCCTAATGTCGCTTACGAAGAGATAAAGAAAAAGAGCTTATGGTTTTTTTTTTTTTTTGCGCGCGAACTATATA